GGAGGCTCTAATGAGCTCCGCGAAATCCCAGGCTGACGAACTGCTGCAGAGGGGTCTTTGGACCGGATCTGTCCTGTAGGGACAGAGAAGAAAGAGAGGCACCTCGGAAGACCAAGAGGAACAGGCAAGTTCCTCGGAGGTCAGAGGAAATTCTTTCTGACTCTGCAGCGGGGGGCAGCAACCATTACGATCGCCAGTAAGATGGGGCAACTGGACCAAGCACTGTGCAGGAGAGGAGAATTGAGCAGAATATTGATGCCGGGTGAGTGACATCTAACTCATAGGCAGAAAGAAAAAAAAAGAGGATTTTCAAAATAATTGTAAAAGTCCTAGCGCTATAACAGCGGCTAATAGGTGTCTTTGGAAAGACTTAGCTGCTTCAACAGTTGGCAAAGAAATAGTTTATGTGCTCTCCTGAATTCTGAAGTATCTGTCAAAAGATTTGCACAGTCCTGCCTTGCAGTGCATATCTGTAACATTTTATATCTGACCTTGCAGCCTGGTTAAGGGTTAAGAAAAAAAGACAACAAGTGCCCTGACTTGTATCCATAAAGGGTCTTTGATGGATTCCTAGTAATCCTCTAAACACAATGCTGCCATCATGGAGGTTTATGAGATTAGTAAAAATACTCTCCCTTTTGCACCCAGAGAAAGGAGTCCTGCTTTGCCCTTATGAACAGAATTGCATGCAGATTATTAACAAGTGTTGTTTGTACTTCAGATGGAATCTCCACGCCTTGGGTAATAAACTCACATATGTAGAATGGAAACATTTCTGGCAATTCAAATATTTCATAGACTGGGAATGTTTCATAATCCAGAATGTTCATATTATTTCCTTTGCTGTTAAAACTGTTTAACAACAATATAGACATAAACTACTACTTAAACTGTGAAACTGGTCTAGGCTTAGAGTGATTTTTTTTTTTAAAGAAGCACACTTGTTAATTGATGTTTTGCCACCGACCCTTGAGGCAGTTATTCTTGTTAAAAAATGCAGGACCTTACCTATTGACCACACAAATATACACTAATGACAAAGTTCATGGGTTCAAATTGATATGATTTAATAATTCACTGTCATCTTTAAAAAAATGTTTATACTCTGTTGCAATTTGTAAATGCATTTTACTTAGAAGTTGTAAGTCTAATCATTCTTAGCCAAGTTTTACTCTGTGTGTGTCTGCAGCTGCATGGTAAGAGAGGTAGATTCTGACATATCTTATGCTTTTAAAAAATTGCTAATTACACCTCTGGTCAAACTTCTAGGTTAGCCAAACCCATTTTATTTACAATTGTAAACCATCTGATTTGTGTGATTTTATTTCTCTGCATGTGGCTAAGTTTTGTTTTACTGTTTGTAAAATATGCCATAGTTTGACCACATGAGTGTTATAATTAAGTTTTGCTGTGGTTTTTACTTGCTGTCTCAGATGTGGATTTATTTTTGTTTCTGAATTGGTCAATGGTCATAATAAAGTTTACTACTACTACTATTACTACTACTGCTACAGCAGCAAATGTTAGGTAGTTCTTATTTATTTATTTTATTTATTTATTTTTTCATATTTGTATACCGCCCTACTCCCGAAGGACTCAGGGCGGTGAACAGCCATAATAAATACAAAGACATATAGAAGTTAAAAACTATTAAAAACAGATTAAGTAATTTAGGCTCAAAGATTAAAACATCCAAATTTATCTAAAAGAGATCTAAAACCCGATTTAAAAGCCAATTTAAAAGCCAATTTAAAAGAGAGAGTTAGGCCAGACCAGCCTGTTTGAATAGAAACGTTTTCAGGGCACGGCGGAAGATGCGTAAGTCTTGGATCCTTCGTAACTCCAGGGGGAGCCCGTTCCAGATGGTAGGTGCCCCTACAGAGAAGGCTCTTCCCCTGGGGGCCGTCAGTCGACATTGTTTGGCCGACGGCACCCTGAGGAGTCCCTCTCTATGGGAGCAAACTGGTCGGTGAGAGGCTATTGGTGGCAGGAGGCGGTCTCGTAGGTACCCTGGTCCTGAGCCATGGAGCGCTCTAAAGATAGTAACCAAAACCTTGAAGCGCACCCGGAAGACCACCGGGAGCCAGTGTAGCTCGCGCAGGAGGGGGGTCACATGAGAGCGCCACATTGCTCCCATCACCACCCGCGCAGCCGCATTCTGGACCAGTTGGAGTCTCCGGGTGTTTCTCAAGGGGAGCCCCATGTAGAGAGCATTACAATAATCCAGGCGTGAGGTGACAAGGGCGTGAGTGACCGTGCGTAACGAGTCCCAATCCAGAAAGGGACGCAACTGGCAAATCAGGCGAACCTGATAAAAAGTCCTCCTGGCCACGGCCGTCATATGCTCTTCTAAAGACAGCCGTGAGTCTAGGAGGATGCCCAAGTTGCGAACCCCATCTGTGGGGGCCAACGACTCGCCCCCAATAGTCAGAGATGGCGCCAACTGACTATATCGGGATGACGGAAACCACAGCCACTTGGTCTTGGATGGCTTGAGTCTGAGTTTGTTCCTCCCCATCCAGATCCGTACGGCCTCCAGGCACCGGGACATCACCTCGAGGGCATCATTGGGGTGGTCTGGGGTGGAGATGTACAGCTGGGTGTCATCAGCATACTGATGGTACTTCACCCCAAAACCACGGATGATCTCACCCAGCGGCTTCACATAAATGTTGAATAGAAGGGGCGAGAGGACCGATCCTTGTGGCACCCCACATATAAGGGGCCTCGGGGTCGACCTCTGCCCCCCTGTCAACACAGACTGCGACCGGTCAGAGAGAAAGGAGGAGAACCACTGTAGAACAGTGCTCCCCACCCCCAACCCTTCCAACCGGTGCAGCATGATATCATGATCGATGGTATCAAAAGCCGCTGAGAGGTCTAGTAGGACCAGGACAGAGGAGCAACCCCTGTCCCGAGTCCTCCAGAGATCATCAACCAATGTGACCAATGCTGTCTCTGTGCTGTACCCAGGCCTGAAGCCCGACTGGAACAGATCTAGATAATTCGATTCATCCAGGTACTGAGGCAGTTGTCGTGCAACCACACTCTCAACAACCTTCGCAACAACGCGAAGGTTGGAGATAGGACGATAATTTGCTAACACAGCTGGGTCCAGGGAGGGCTTCTTGAGGAGGGGCCTCACCACCGCCTCTTTCAAGATGGTGGGAAAGACACCTTCACTCAAAGAAGCAAGTTCTTATGAAATAATGAGAGCCTAGATCCGAAAAATTATATCATGTTAAGATGTTTGACAGAGAAAATAACTGCTTATTAAATGATAGTGAACAACAGCAGTAGAATACTGTATTCACCTTCACCTTGTATTTAGTAACAATGGTAAAGTGGATGCAGACATTTGAAGATGTGCACACACTGGTAGCATGTAGGTTTAGTGCAAAGAATTAATATTTATCTAAATACAGGAGATAGGTTCAATGGCTGCTAAATGAATGTGAATTGAATATAAAACTGAGTGACCAATATGAAGGAGGTATACAGTGATGGTTTGGTCATATACAGTAGATGACATAAAAGAATACTGATCTGCAAAACAAACATATGAGGTCAAGAGAAAAGGAGAAACCGGAAAAATTGTGGCTGGATAGAATTAGTGAGCTCCTTGGAGAGGAGATAAGTTTCAGGAACAAAACACAACAGATGAAGCAGCATATAAGCGCTTTGCAAAGGCAGAAAGATATAGGGAGGCATAGAGAATAGTGTTAGCGTAGAAGTTATTTTTGTTTGTCTTATCTTGTTTGTCTTATCCCATATTACTGTTTCATGTCAAGTGCCAGGGACATCAGAAGACCTGGGCAGTTCAAATGGGTATAAAGATTTAGTACAAGCTTAAGCTCTCTACAAAAATCTGAACTACTAATGGTCAAAGCAAATTGGTGGTAGATAAGCGTCAATGGAATTCAAGGTAGACTGCATTTAGATATCTTGTGAGCACAAAGAGACTCGTGACTGATGATGTGTTTGAGCCCTCCCTTGGGCTCAGCCTACATCTCCTCAGCCTCATCTCCTACATTTCCTTGACTTACTATGCTATACTTCTTTTCTGCACTTTGTGTAATGTTGCTTACCCCAAAAGGGAATAACATGATGGATATTTATGTAAGGATCCTGGGTAGAAGCCTTTAGAAAACTCTAATTTATATGATGCAGTGATGCCCAACAGATTTCTAATCTATTTGATCCTAGTTTGGATACAAATTAGATATACAGACTATTCAGAAAGAAGATATCTGAACTGAATTTAACTGGAAGAACTGAGTCAGCTGTCCTGGGGGTCAGGAGATGTGACTGAGCCTGAACATTGATTGATGGGTTTATTTTTACTCTGATTGCTGTTTTATGTGCATTGATTCTGTTTTTGTTTTTTGTCTTTATAATTTTTGAACATTTTGAGCCACTCAGTGTCATGAATGGGAAGCCATATACACTAAAATATGGTGGCTCCCTCCCTTTGGAACATCATCTCCACAGAGATTAAACTGGCCTCCACTTTGACACATTTCCATAAGGCCCTGAAAATCTGATTCTGCCAATGGGCCTGGGGAATCCAGAGTGGGATAGAGCCCTTCAAGTGGCTTGTTGTGTGTTGTCACCAGGGAGGTGAGGTTTATTATTTTTTATTCTTTTATATTGCATTTTTATTATTTGTAAACCGCTCACTGAGAGTGAGGGAGAGGCCACATAAATCTAAATAAATAAATAAATAAATAAATAAATAAATAAATAAATAAATAAATAAATAAATAAATAAATAAATAATCAATCAACCAATCTATATCTGTATTACAGTAGCTCCATAAATGTAATAGATAAATAAATTAGCTATAGGCTTGCTGTTTAAGAATAATAGAACATAGGATCCCATTCTATTGCTATCATCATGGAATCTTTTTGTCTAACCAGAGTTTAAATGAAATATTCTTTACATAAAGATGTATAAGTAAGAAATGAGTTAAATAAATCATTTTTTTCCTTCACAGGTCCACCAGGAAGAAGAGGAAAGCCTGGACGACGGGGAGAACCAGGTAATTTTCTTGTACTTCTTGTAAAGTAATGTTAGTAAGTTAAATTATATACACAAAGTAAAAGGTGGGAAAAATTTCATCTGCAGGTAATCCTCAATTTGTGATAAAAATTGAGCCCCAAATTTATGTTGCTATGTGAGAAATTTGTTAAGTGAGTTTTGCCCCATTTTATGACTTTTCTTGCCACGTTTGTTAGGTGAATCATTCCAGAACTGGAATGAACGGAATAAACAAGTTTGTTAAATTAATAATCTGGCTTCCCCATTGACTTTGCTTGTCAGAAGGTCCCAAAGGGATCACATGACCCCAGGACATTGCAACCATCATAAATATGAATCAATTGCCAAGTGCCTGAATTTTGATCACGTGACCTTGGGGATGCTGCAGCGGTCATAAGTGTGAAAAATGGTGATAACTCACATTTTTCAGTGCCATTGTAACTTCAAACAGTCATTAAATGAACTTTTGTAAGTGGAGGACTACCTGGTATGTATATAAGCGTGGCTTTCTTTTTCATTTGTCTGCTGATTTTTCCTTTCTTGTTTTTAATGGGATAAGCCTGTAAAACAGTCATGTACAGTAAGAGCTCTGCTACTTCTTTCTTCCTCAGCTATTACTTTCCATCTGAAAATTTCACACACACACATACAGCATGCTCACTTTTAAGAAAATGAAGGCACACTCTAGATATTGAATATAACATGTAGTTTAATTCTGAGACGTAAGTAAAATCTGCTCTGTTGCCTGTCTAATATCTGGGCTACTAGGATCTGATACAAACCATGAAACAGACTTCTAATTATCATCCCGTTCACAAATCTTAATCTGCATTGTATTAAGCCATAGCTTACTTAATCATGGTTTGTTGAATAAAGCACAGTTGTTAAAATTCACGCATTGCACAGCCATATGAACCATGATATATCAATTACGATGACTTGTTTCTTAAAATATGCTAAGCCAAAATTAAAAGCATATTGCATTAAATTGCATGATGTGTGGAAGCAACTAGCATTTCATGTAGAAAATAATTACTGTAGACCTGAATAAGCAAACTAAAAAGAAATGGAATGCTGGAAGGTGAAATGGGAAAGTGGAAAGTGGAAATGATTCTTCTTGTTTTCATCAATGACAGGTTCATAACTTTTTATATTTTCTTCATTTTGAATCATTCCCATTATCTGCATTGATTTCAGAATGGAATCTTTATTATTCCATCTCATATGCCTTTTCGAAGTGTAACCCTTGTCTGGATCAGATTATAGTTGTCAAATAATTCAGCAAAAGTTCCCAGCATCCTTCACGGAGCAAGCTTTTTCCATCATTTTCATCTTAATTCAACGAAGCCTTCCCTAGAGCTTAGTTTCTTGGGCTTAGGAAGACACAACTAATGGCTAGACAAATGGCTAATGTAAAGATGGGAAATGTAGACAGAGGGAGCAGAAAGGGAGATGTGTGTTGCCATGAGGCAAACATGCTTAGGCAGAGATAGAGAAAGAAAAGGTAAGGCTCCGATGCTAAATGTCGTAGCATTGCTCCAAGACCTCAGAAAGTTTTAATGAAAAGAAGGTGGACCCTTTTCTTTATTTTTAAATCATTGCAACTTTTCTTATAAGAAAGTCCCATAATGCAACAAAAATATTTTGCACTTCTTTCTGTCTAGAATTATTCATCTGCCTAGTTCATTAAAACACAAAGAATAAAAGAAAGCGTGAAAGCTTAACATTGATGCTTTCTTTATAAGTGGGAGGGACAGCTAGTGAAAAGATCTGAGGATGATATCATATGAACTGATGGGTAGAAGAGCTTAACTGTTTTGGCAGCAAGGCTTAGGTTGGAGAAGGAGATGATGAAAGCATACATCAGAGCATTATCTAAGACAGGAACGCAAGATGTGCAGCCTCAGCCCATATAGAGCCCAATGGGAAGTTGTTTGTGGTCTGCAACAGTTTTGGATCCCCTAAGTTACTTAACCTGACTGCTGCTACCATTACCCCGTGCCCACCTACTGTTGCTTTGCCCACATAGGGTCTACTGTATTTCGATTCATTCTCTCTATCTTGCTTCATGTGTCCTTCTTTGTCCCCAAAATTTTGTTGCTGCTCTGCTCTTAACAGTTCTTCACTTCCTCTTTCTGGGGGGCCACCTCTCCACATATTTTTCCACCTTTTGCATTTCTAATTGGTTTTATAACTTTTTGACCATCCAAACCTTATCCAAGCTTTCTTTGCCCATTCATACACTATCTAAATATATAAATTATATATTTATACATCTATGTACTTTTTGGATGTATTTTATGTTTTATTGGGTTTGTTTTTATTTGTTGTGAGCCGCCCTGAGTCTACGGAGATAGGGCGGCATACAAATTACATAAAATAAATAAATAAATCTACAATGCCTGCCCACTTTCTTATTCACCCACTGGCTGTTTCTATTTTTGGGTTTAGTAGAAGAGAAATAGTAAAAATATTCATTTTTATTACAGAAATTCTCCTCAACAACGACAATTTCTCCCATCTTAATATATCTTTTTTAAAAACTTCATTCCATGTCTTAACCTATTTAGTTTGAAATAACATGCCGTGCATATTTGTGATGGTGATACACAGATACTTTACTTGCCCATCAATCTGAAATCTCGTTTTCTTCATCAATTCTGTTTGATCTTCTACTTTCATGTTTCTGTGGACATCTTTATATTCTGATTATTAACCTTAAAATCTGCTAGGGTACTACAATCTTTACTCCCACAATTCTCTCATCTTGTCTTATATCTGTGTTCAATATTTCAAGAACTAAAACAAACAGGAGAGAAGGCAATGGACATCCCTAATTTGTCCCTTTTTGTATCTCACAGGATTTTTTTAGACATCCATTGACAATTATTTATGCTTTCTGTGAAGTGTCATGCAGTTTTCAATGTGGACCCAAATATGTCACACAAAACTTATTGCGGCCATCCAAGCTGATAAAATTGTGTCCTGCAATCTAAAAATATAGAGAAGGCACATGAAAATGTAATTCAACAAAGGGGGAAGTAACTGGCTAAAGAGAAAATGCATTATATTGTCACAGCTGTGGGTCTGAACAGCAGGTTGAATGGCTATATTGTCTAATAGGTGGGTCAAGTAAAAGAGAGCAGTTAATGCCTGGTATTTTTATTTATTTCTTGGGGGGTTTTTTGGCCTTTCTGAAATACTTTCCACAAAAAACAATAAGGCTAAAAAATAGATTGAATGTTATGACTGATTTTGACAAATATTATTTGAAAGCATCTGAAATTTTGCTGCATAGAATAATAATCAACTCTAAACAATTCTGATTCATAGTTCAGATATGAAAAATATATTTCCACATTAGTATCGAGATTAAATATGGATTTATGAATTAAACACTATTTGTTCATTTGACTTTTGACTAAAGGTATTCAGCCTTGGTTAAGTGGCATTCATAATTGTAGGGTTCAGAATTTTATTTCTTCTGCTTTTTTGAATGCTATCTTTCAGATCAAGTATTACATAGAAACTATGTTTAAGACAGAACCATACACATGTAATTCACATATTTTGATTCTTTGCTGGAACTACAAAATTATTGTTCATCTGCAGTGTAAAAGGCTCTTTGGAACCATATCACAAACACTACCAATAAAGGAATAATTATACACAATTAATTTAATGTATATTCTTTTAGAGATGAAGAAAATAAAGAATTGATTTTGGCAGAAGGCTAGCAGAGTGTATGTTTTTTCAACAGAAAGTAAGCTGAAGGACGTTTTGAAAGAGAAGAAGATATAAACATATAAATAGACAAATCCAAAGGCACCCAAATTCAAAACTTAATAATAGCATTCCAGTTGCATACCAGCTTTGTATTGTTGCTCTAAGAGAATGTTTTATCTGGATTACAGCCTAACCAAAAAGCAGATTGACCTCAGTATATTAGTTATACTGAGTATACTTACCCAGCTGCTGAGTATTATTTTTATCATAATTAGCATGTATTTATGTATGTATGTGTGCATGGATCTGTCTGTCTGTCTGTCTGTCTGTCTTTCTGTCTGTCTGTCTATCTATCTATCTATCTATCCATCCATCCACCCACCCACCCACCCACCCACCCACCCACCTACCTACCTACCTACCTACCTACCTACCTACCTACCTACCTACCTACCTACCTGGATAACCTTACTACACAGAAAACCAGGCTCTTATTCTTTCACTACAGTTGATAAATGGGAACAAATTTTTATTTGTTTTATATGATTGCATCCTCCCTAGTGGTTCTTGTGTGGTTATAACTTCACAGCTTCCAAACAAAGGCTGAGTTAGAGCCAAATATTCAGCAGTTGTTTTGCTTGGCAGTATCTTTGCTCTGGCAGCTTTTGAAATTCTTTCTTTCTTTCTTTCTTTCTTTCTCTTTCTTTCTTTCTTTCTTTCTTTCTTTTTTTCTTTCTTTCTTTCTTTCATCATTTTGCTTGTTCTAAACAGGAGAACAGTTATATATTGTTGATATGATTCATAATAGTGCCTTGGATTTTTAAAAAACTATACTTTTTAAAAATTTATGTTAGACAAATGACCAAAGTATTTTTGAAAATTTTATTACCATGTATTTTTACTCTTAAATTTTGAAGCCCCTTTGGGGTATAGGCTAACTAAAAAAAATAGTTAAGAGAGGAAAACAGCCTTAATATTCCTAGTATGAAGCAATTTGTATCTATCAAATAATTTTGAATTCTCAATGGAATATTACCTCCCCTCTTCTATTCCCAAACACATCCACAAATCTCCCCCTCTGAGGTTAGGAGAGGTAAGAAAGATTTCTTGCAACATGAAAGGAATGACCAGCCCTTAGCACAGCTGGTAAGACAGAAAGAGGTGATAGTCTTGCTAAAGCTGTTTCCTTCTTGAATAGTCTTGACCAGTGATGAAATCCAATTTTTTTTTACTACCGGTTCTGTGGGCATGGCTTGGTGGATTTGGCGTGGCTTGGCAGGCGTGGCAGGGGAAAGGATATTGTG